AGGGTTAAACAAACTGGAGAATAAAAATGAAAAAATACCGAACTAAATCCCATATAAATATAAATAGTGCCACTTGATATTTATTAACATATTTAAACATCTTTAAATTATTTAATTTTCGCAAATTACTTGTCGTGTAACTCTACATTAACAATTAAATAGATTCAAATTTCCTTGGAAAAAATTTTTTTAATTTATTTCTCTCAATTTCTTAACAGTGTACACATACATAATCAAGCCACACAAAAAAATTAAAAAATGCCTTTATCAGAAATCGCACATATTGATAAAACTACCCAAGAACATCAAAATGTTTCTACAATTAATAGTGTAAAAAATGACGCAACAGATAAAAATAGTAGCAATAACAATGATAACAATGATAATGAAGGTTATAATATGTCTTTAGAAGGTAAACAAACAATATCTACCACTGCCGTCGTTATTCAAAAGGATTCGACTACTCAACATTCAAATAATAACCCCAGTAGTAATGGTGGTGGTGGTATTAAAAGTATTAAATATGAGAATGGTAACGACATTAGTTATAATAATGGCAACAATGACTCTAGTAATAATTCTGCCACTATTAATTCTAATAAACCTGCTTCTGCCAATCTGAAATCGTCACCTCCACATAATAATAATCAAACTATTAACGTATCAGTACTTTCTCAATCTAAAGCATCTTCGTCATCAGAGAACCAAACAGAGCCATTGGAATCAGCTCCACCTACCACGGGAAGTTTTAATCAATTTTCTATAAATCAAGAAAAATCAAACAACGCATCACAAAATAACTCTCCTCAATCTCAATCAAAACCTAAACCATTTACTTGTCTTGAGTGTAATCAAACATTTAGTCGCCAACACAATTTAAAATCACATGCATTAACACACTCTAAAGAAAAACCATACAGATGTGATGTTTGTCAACATTTTTTCCGTAGACAGCATGATTTGAAAAGACACTTAAAATTACATACCGGTGAAAAACCTCATCAATGTCAACACTGTAAAAGAAAATTTGCAAGAATGGATGCATTGAACAGACATTTACGTGCTGAAACCTTTTGTGGTGGCCCGCAGAAAAAAATCTTTCAAGGCCAAGACTCAAAGACAAAGATAGAATTGTCTGTTCAACAGCCACTTCAACAAGCTACGCCACAACAAATCTCACAGCCACAGCTACCTTCTTCTACTTCTATTATTCCCGCCTCTCAACCACAACCCCAACCTGGAAAAGCCACACAAGTACAAATCCATCTCCCTCAATCAAATAACAAACAATCTTTGCAACAAATTCTACCACAACAACAAAAGTTACAAACATCGGCATCACTGCTTAATTCTCCTAATATTAATAATAATAACAAGTTATTAATAGATGATCCAACTAAAAAGCAAATTCAAACTACTACTCCTGCGATCAAGAACGAGATGCAATACTATAGAACACAACCAGTGTTACATTCTGAACAATATCATCATTCATGGCCACAAAATACTAATAATCAATTGCAAACAATGTCAGGACCGCAACCACCTCGTTATGCATCTTTTTGAGTTTTTATTTGAATATCAGCATCAATAGTAGCAGACATTTTGCGTTTTTTCTCGTATTGTGAAACATCAGTATTTGGAGCAGAAGCACGTTCCAACAATAATTGTTTAAGAAGATTTTTCTCAATTTCAAGTGCGGATACTCTTTGTTCCAAAAATTCTCTACGACCACGTAATTTACGTTCATTAATAATATCATTTTCCAATTCCCTTACTCTCTCTTCCAAATAATTATTTCTTTCAATAAGTGAATTTTCTCGTTGGGAAACATTTTTAGCGTGATCGTGGTCACCATTT